GCAGACTGGCCATTTCTCTGCAATTCCAAACTTCAGAGAATTGGATTTTTGGGTTTCCAGTTGTGCGGCCGCAGGAAGAATTGTGCGGCCACATATTCTTCTCTGTTGTGGCAAATACAATTGTGCGGTCCGCACTTTTTCCACACTTGGCCAATTTGTCGAACACAGTACCTGCAATGCACACTCATTCCTGCAATTCACTTCAAAACCAATTAGCTCAATACAAAATCTATCTAAAAAAATAAGAAAATGAAAAATAAAAAGAAATTAGGGTTGCCTCCCAAGAAGCGCCTGATTTAACGTTGTGGCACGACGCAGATTACCATCAATCACTTGAAATGAATTAACGCTACGATGTGGCCATCATCAACTTTGCCAAGATAATGCTTCACCCGGTGAAAATTGACTCTAAACACTTCATCACTTTTGTTCTTCAAGTGTAATGCACCAAAGGGTGTCACATGCACAACCTCAAAGGGACCACTCCACTTAGACTTCAACTTTCCTAGGAATATTCGTAACCGAGAAAAGAATAATAATACAAGATCACCTTCTTTGAAATCCTTGTTCCGGATGTACTTGTCATGGAGGTACTTCATCGTGTCCTTATATAAGGACGAACTTGTATATGCATGGTACCGGAATTCATCAAACTCATTCAATTGTGCCACCCTTATGTTGGCGGCGACATCCCATTCACGATTAAGCTTTTTCAATGCCCACATAGCCTTGTGCTCAAGTTCCACGGAAGGTGACAAGCTTTTCCGAACACTAACCAGTACAGAGACATACCAATCGGTATTTTGTAAGCCGTCCTATAATCCCCAAAAGCATCATCAAGATTCTTTGACCAATCCGTTCGGTTGGCATTCACTATCTTTGACAAAAAAACTCTTGATCTCCTGGTTGGAGACTTCCACTTGCCCGCTTGCTTGAGAGTGATAGGGGGTCGAGACTTTGTGAGTGACACCATACTTGGTGAGTAAGGTATCAAAAGCTTTGTTGCAAAAGTGCTATGCCCCATCACTAATAATGGCCCTTGGAGTACCAAATCTTATGAAGATATTCGTTTTCAAAAATGCCACCACTCTTCGAGCTTCATTGTTGGTAAAACCACAGCTTCAACCGATTTTGACACATAATCTATAGCTACCAAAATGTAAGTGTTCCCACAAGAGCTCACGAACAGAACATGAAATCAATACCCAACACATCAAAAATGTCAATCTCCAAGATGGTGGTGAGGGGAATCTCAATTTTTTTAGAAATCCCACCGGCCCTTTGACATTCATCACAACGCTTGACGAGATCGCTAGCGTCCTTGTAAAGAGTAGGCCAATAGAATCCACAACTCAACACTTTTGTTACCGTTCTAGCTCCACCATGGTGACCACAATATGGTGAAGAATGGCAAGCCTCAATAATTTTCACTTGTTCTTCCTCCGATACACATCGTCGAATCACACCATCGGTACAAATCCGGAATAGATACAGCTCATCCCAATAATAGTCAAGGCAATCCCGTTTGAGCTTCTTCCTTTGGTTTGAAGAGAACTCATTCAATACAATACCACTCATAAAATAATTTGCTAAATCGGCAAACCATGGCATCCCGGTCATTGAAATAGCTAGAAGTTGTTCGTCGGGGAAGGAATCATTTATCTCAAGGCCGTCATGTGTCCACCCCTCCTCCTCCAAATGAGACAAGTGGTCCGCCATTTGGTTTTAACTACCCTTGTTGTCTTGAATCTCTAGATCAAACTCTTGCAATGGAAGCACCCACCGCATTAACCTTGCCTTTGAATCTTTCTTGCTCATCAAATACCGAAGCGCCGCATGATCGGTGTGGACAATCACCTTTGTACCCATCAAGTACGGGCGGAACTTCTCCATAGCAAAGAAAATAGCAAGTAGCTCTTTTTTGGTCAATGTGTAGTTGACTTGGGCATCATTCATAGTCTTACTAGCATAGTAGAGCGGATGGAAGATTTTATTGATACGCTACCCCAAAACTGCTCCAACCGCCACATCACTTGCATCACACATGATCTCGAAAGGCAAACTCCAATCCGGTGCGGTGATAATAGGAGTAGTCAATTTGAACTTGAGCAATTCGAATGCCTTCATACAATCCTCGTTGATATGGAACTTGGAATCCTTCTGCAAAAATTTACACAGGGGGTTCACCACCTTGGAAAAGTCATTGATGAATCGACGATAGAACCCTGCATGACCCAAGAAGCTTCTCACTCCCTTCACGGATGTAGGGGTGGGAGTTTTGAGATCACCTATATTTTGGCCTTGTCGACCTCAATACCATGCTTTGAAATTTTGTGGTCGAGGACAATCCCTTCCTCGACCATGAAGTGACATTTCTCCCAATTCAAAACCAAGTTTGTCTCCTCACATCTTGCCAATACCTTATCCAAGTTGTTCAAGCAATCATCAAAAGAGTTTCCGACCACGGAAAAGTCATCCATGAAGACCTCAAGAAAATTCTCCACCATGTCAGTGAAGATGGCCATCATACACCGTTGAAAAGTCGTCAGTGCATTGCATAACCCAAATGGCATCCTCGAGAATGCGAAAGTACTCTAGGGACAAGTGAAAGTAGTCTTCTCTTGGTCCTCCAGAGCAATAAGAATTTGATTGTAGCCGGAATATCCATCAAGGAAATAATAGAAAGCACGGTCGGCCAACCTATCAAGCATTTGATCAAGTAATGGAAGTGGGAAATGATCTTTCCTTGTGACTTTGTTGATCTTCCAATAGTCCATACACGCTCTCCACCCGGTGACCGTTCTTGTGGGGAACAACTCGTTCTTGTCATTTATTACTACAGTCATGTCCCCTTTCTTTGGGACACATTGCACCGGAGAGGTCCACGAGCTATCAGAATTGGGGTAAACAACCCCGTCATCCAACCATTTTACGATCTCCTTCTTCACCACCTCTTGCATTGCTTCATTTAATCTCCTTTAATGTTCAACGGAGGGTTTGGCATCCTCCTCCAAAATAATCTTGTGCATGCAAAAGGCGGGGTTTATACCCCGAATGTCCGCCAATGTCCATCTAATAGCTTTCTTCCTCTTTTGTAGTACCGCCAAAGTAGAGTCTACATGCACGTTAGACAAGTAAGAGGAAAGAATAACCGGTAAAGTAGAACATGGGCCAAGGAATTCATACCTGAGATGTAGAGGCAATGGCTTTCACTTTAAAGTGGGTGGCTCCTCGATTGCGGGCTTTGTTGGAGGAGTCTTTCGGTTCTCAAGATCTAAGGACAATATTCGGGGTTCATAAGTGTACAACCCCATTCATTGCAATGCATTTACACATTCCACATAGCATTCCTTCTCATCATCATCATGATTAAGCAATACGGCCTCCAAAGTATCATCAACATTCATCATGGCACTCATATCATCAACAATCACCTCGGTCACTAAGTCCACAAACGAACAAACTTTATTGCTATTCGGTTGCCTCATAGATTTACATACATGGAAAACCACATTTTCATCGCCCACCCTGAAGGTGAGCTCACCGACTTCCACATCAACAAGAGACTTCCCAGTAGCAAGGAAAGGTCTACCCAAGATAATAGGCACCTCATAGTTCACTTCGTAATCAAGAATCACAAAGTTCGCCGGGAGGATGAACTTATCAACACGAACCAACACATCATCAATAATACCCAATGGTCTCATCATAGTACGATCCGCCATTTATAATCTCATAGATGTGGGTCTTGGTTGCCCAATTCCCAAAGTTTTGAACACCGAGTAGGGCATCAAGTTGATACTCGCCCTTAGATCACATAGAGCTTTGGCAAAGTCGGTGCTCACAATAGTGCAAGGGATTGTGAAAGCGCCGGGATCTTCCAATTTCGGAGCCATTGAGTGCACAATAGCACTCACTTGATGTGTCATCTTGATGGTCTCACAATTCATTGATCTTTTCTTTGTCACCATATCCTTCATGAACTTTGCATATCCGGAAATTTGTTCCAACGCCTCAACCAATGCCAAGGCATATCCGGGCATATCCGGGCATTTGTTCCAATGCCTCAACCAATTTCTTGGCGAGCATTTGAGGGTATGGAGGGGGAGGACATGGCATTGGTGCCTTAGCCTTTGGCACTACCGGTTCTGGTATGTCAATCACGTGTTCCCTAGACGAGTTCACTTCTTCTCGAGTCTCCTCCACATTTTCATCAATATCAATTCTCACTTCTTCATTAGTTTGAACCACATTTCTTGGAATTTCATCTTCTTGAATCACTACATCATCATCCACAATTCTTCTTTGGTTTGAGGTTGTTGCCTCCCCAACTTTTCCACTCCTTGTGGTTACGTCCATGGCATGTCCCATGTTGTTCCCACCCTTCGGGTTCACCACCGTGTCACTAGGTAGTGCCCCCTTAGGACGATGTTTAAAGCTTGTGAGATTTGCCCCATTGAACCTCCAAATTGCGGATTGAAGTATTGTGAGAGGCTAATTGAGCATCGGAGTCGGCATTTTTCTCCATCATTTTCTTGAACATATTTTCAATCTGTTCCATCTCATTATTGGAAGAGTTAGAACCATGTGACGGATAATGAGGCGAGTTTCTTGGTTGTTGATATATCGGGGGCCTTTGAAAGCAAGACCCCCGATTCCTTTCATTATTATTCCAACCCCATTGGTTGTTGCCTCGCCAATATCCTTGGCTTGATTATTCTAATTACCTTGATTATTGTTATTGTTTCAACTACCTTGATTGTTGTTACCACCACTCCAATTGCCTTGGTGGTTTTGATTGTTCAAATTTCCTTGATTTCCTTAAGATCGCCATTGTTTTTTATTCGGGCCTTGAGAGTTGTTTCTTTGCCCTTGATAATTGTTCACATATTTCACTTCTTTCTCTTGCTCATTGTATGATTCATCTTGGTCAAATCCACTATCATCTTGCACAAATTGTTCCACACGGTTTTGCACTTGTTGACCCTTTTGTCTTCGCTTGTTCACCATCATATTGACACCTTCCATTGCATTTACTTGCTTAGGACCTTGAACTTGTTGAAGTTGAGCTTTGACTAATTGATTCATTGGTGTGGTCAACTTGGCAATTGCTTTCCCATGATCATGCAATTCTTTGTGTAGGTGAATCACATTTGGATCACCTTGAGAAACATTAGCTCTACTTTACCATGGCGATGAAGTATCCGCCATTTCATCTAAAATCTCACAAGCTTCGGCATATGGCATTGTCATGAAATGCCCACTAGCAAGTTGGTTGACCACGCGTTGATTGGTAGTGTTGATCCCCCTGTAGAAGGTTTGTTGAATCATAGCCTTAGTCATGTCATTATTCTGTCACTCTTTCACCATAGTATGGTACCTCTCCCAAATCTCGTGCAAAAGCTCATTGGGTTCTTTCTTGAATGCTAGAATCTCATCCCGAAGAGTAGCCATATGCCCGAGAGAAAAGAACTTGTCAATGAATTTCTCCGCCAATTCATCCCATGTACATATAAAATGGTTTGACAATCATTCTAACCAATCCAAGGCTTTCTCCCATAGAAAAAAGGGAAATAGCCTCAACCTTAGAGCATCCTAGGAGACGTTGGTCTATTTACTCCCCCAGCAAGTGTCCACAAACCCTTTCAAGTGCTTGTATGCATTTTGACTCGGAGCCCCGGTGAAGAATCCATGTTGCTCTAGCAATGTGAGCATAACATTGGTGATTTAGAAGTTACCCACCCTAATGCGACGGCGGACTATAGCACTTGCATATCCCTTGTTTGGCAACACCCGGTGTGGAGCCGCTCTTGGTGGAAGCGGGGGTGGGACGGGAATATTGTCATGAGGTGGTCGGCCTCACCTATTTGCTTGAGGTTCAAGAGGAACCTCATCACCTTGGTAATCGTCCACTTCCTCCCCCAAAGGCAAGTTACCGAGAGGATCATTGTTGAGAGCCATATTTGTACCTACAATCGATTCACAAAAAAGGTTAGTAATCCGGAAGAAAAAGAAGACAAGTCACATACAAAACCAAATATATAGCTAAATCCATTTTTAGCTCCCCAGCAACGACGCCAAAAATTAATGTCGCCCAAATTCACACCACTGAATGGGATTGTGAAGCGGTCGATGCAATTATAATTACCCAACTTGAGTCGGGGTTGATTTCTCATAGAGCTTATATTGGATTAGGTATATATGTAGACTAAGCGTATGACGTGCCTAAAATGCACTTCCACATACTTGGTTGTTTCTTTCTATTTCTAATTTTAACTATTGTTTGTAAATGTAAAGCTAGGGAACGTTATTTTTGGTGTTGTTGTTTTTCAAGTTTATAAAAGATCTAGGGTTGTGACTTCCACCTAGTTGGTTACCTAACGGATTGTGGGCTTCATGGCAAGTTTGGTTGGTCTAGGTGTAATATAGCAATCACACGCGATTACCCACTCGATACCTATCGGTAGTTAGAGTGATTTTGCCCAATTTGGCTTTCTCAAGTCCAAATGGGTAATTCGCAAAACAAGTGATAGATGTTCAAGTCGGGTCTTACTATCTCTAGATTCAACCCTTTAATTGGGGCTATCAATGTCTTGAGTTCACCCCAATTTCTTGTTAGCCTAGTTTTACTAGACTTAGTCTCTCTTTCTCAAGTAGAGACTAGGTCAATTAGGCTTGAATCAATATTTGCAACCATTGATTCTAAAATTAAAGCAAGAACTAGGCTAAATATCACACACCCAATCACAAACAAGCCCTAAATTAAACACCCATTAGGCACCAACACTAGGGTTGGGTCACAACCCTAGCTAAGAATTTAGCTACTCATAGATAAAATTGAAGAAACTAAAGAAGAAAATAAGATTAAACTCATAATAGATGATAAAGGGATGAAAATATAATGTTAAAATGATAAACTAATACAAAGTTTCCCAAAGCAGTAAGTAAAAAATGGCTATCTACTTTTTGAAGTTCAAACTTAACCTAATTTTGACAAAAAGACTATTTATACACAGCTAAAATTATCGCACAAAATTGCCCCTGCTGAGGTTCTGTGGCCGCACAATTCTGTGTGCGGTCCACACTTTAAATTTGGACTTGACATAATGGACTTCTGCGGCCGCACAATTCTGAGTTGCGGCCGCACTTTCTTCAGATTTTGCGGACTGTACATTTCTGAGTGCAACCGCACTATTGAATTTCAGCTTGACATAAGAGACTTCTGCGGACCGCACATTTTTTAGTGCAGCCGCACTCTTGAATTCTACGGCCGCATAATAATAGTGTGGTCCGCATTTCTTCATAGACCCAGACTTCCATCTCTCTAAACCTCATCTTCTGCGGCCGCACAATAATTGTGTGGTCCGCACTTTGCAAATAAATTCTGTCAGAGGTCTTTCATAGTCTACGGCCGCACTCAATATTGTGTGATCCGCACTTTGCTCTTTTTGCTTTGTTTTAGTCCTTGTCCAAAAATACTCCTTCTTGAGTTGATTTTCATCTCTTTGACTCATAATCCAATACTCCTGCAAGAAAGCACATTTCATCAGTTGTCGGAAATACCTTTAAGCATTTTTTTAGCTAAAACGAAAGTAAAAGAGTGCAAATAAGTAATAAAAATCCCTACTTATCAGTTTCTTAGACAAGTGTCAGAGGATTATTCGTAAAACAGGTATTATGGAGACTAGTGGGGTCTCGTTCACTACTTTTCAGTTCTCTGGGGTTGCCTTCAGTTGGTGGGAGGCTTATGAGAGGCGCTGACCGGCCGTTGCAGCACCACTCACATGGAAGAATTTCTCCGTTCTCTTCTTGGAGAAGTTCGTGCCACAGTCTCGTAGAGAGGAGCTGCATAGATAGTTTGTGCAGTTACGTCAGGATGACATGTCTGTGATGTAGTACGAGTGGTTTTTTGAGTTGGCTCGTCATGCAGTTTAGTTGGTTCCCACTGATAGGGAGGGGATCAGGAGGTTCATTGATGGCCTCACATATCATCTGCGGATGCTTATGACTCGAGAGAGGGTATCTGGTGCTACTTTTGATGAGGTGGTTGACATTGCTCGACATATAAAGATGGTCTGCAGCCAGGAGCAGGTTAAGAGGGAGGCCAAGAGGTCTCGTGGATTGGGTGGTTTTAGTGGTGTTCCTTCCGGGGGTCAGTTCCACCACAGCAGGGTTCGTCCTTACAAGCATGCTCAAATGACTCGACCAGCTCATCGTGGTGCATCAGTTAGCCACGGTTCTTACATTGCTCGCTCAGGCCAGTCTTCATTCAGTGCACTACCAGCGCAGAGTTCTCGACATGCCTCGTCCGCTCAGGTTTCTACAGTAATTCCTCGGGGTATCAGGAGCAGCAATTCCTTCAGAGGAGGGGTTGTTTCGAGTGCGGGGAACTTGGTCATATCAAGAGAGACTACCCTAGGTTGTTAAGTGGTACTCCATAGTAGAGTTCTCGGCCGATGGCAACAGCGCCAGCAGCTACATCACCAGCTCAGCCAGTTCGGGGTAGAGCTCAGTCAGCTAGAGGTCGTCCTAGAGGGGGAGGCCAATCAGGTGGCAGTCAGGCCCGATTCTATGCTCTTCCTGTTGGTTCCCCAAGTACACGCAAGTATACGTGATTGTCAAGTAATAAAGTGACTCGAAAGTCGGATGTCGAACCCACAGAGACTTATATTGATCGTTAACTAAGCAAACTAAAATTAATTAATTGTCCAAAATAATTAAGAGATATTTTTCTATTAATCTACTATTACGGAAATTAAACAAGTAACAACTAAATTATCAAGAATGCAAATGTGTATGATGAGATTTTACTTCAAATGAGATGCAAATTCCAGGGTTGTGGTCGGTTTATCAATCCTAATAAATTTAATAATCACACTCGTTAATCCAGATTATCTATGGTTACTAATTAACCGGATTGTTTATAGGAATAGCATGTTCCCACAATACTACTGGCTTGCCCACAATATATCAATCATATATTCTTATGGTATTGAGTCTATCATGAACGAATATAATATGGTGTTCAATTAAGCAAGACTGTTAGGTATATTCTTATCCTAACCGCAAAATCTTTCCCCAAGTCACAGGTTCAGAAACAAGCTCTCTCTAATTCTACTCTAATCTAAACACGGTTTTTCCAAGCATAACATAAATAGTAAATAGAATTCAACTGCTGGCCAAACAATTAAGCAATTATACACAGAATTAGAGAAACAACCACAAGATGATAATTCGAATTAACGAAGATGTAATTAATAAACGTTAATAATCATGTCAACCACAACCCTAGAACTAGAGTGCTTAGCCACTCATGTTCGTAGTAACAATTTTCCAAGTATTTTGCATAAACAAATTACAAAGAAAAGATAAGGGAATGAAGAACTCTATGATTTTCTCCTCCAAAAGTTGTTCCACGTGATGTTCTTACCTCCGGTTGCCAAAAAACTCCCTTAAAAATGATGTTTAATGACTATTTATATGTGTAGGGAAACGACCTAGACGAACTAACCTAGTCCAAAACAAAATAGGAGACAAAATAGGCTTTTAAAATCCGGAACCCCCTCGCTACAGGCCTCGCAGCGCGAGGCAAAATGCACGCCCCCATCTCGCTGCGGACCTGACGTTGCAAGCTTCACAACGCGCCTCCTCTCGCTGCAGACCTCGCCTCGTGAGGTAAAACGCAAGACATGAGTCTCGCGTCGCCTACTGCTTCTTTGCTGCTTCGTTTCTCATTTAGCTTAGGAGACAAAATAGGATATGGAATGTGATGCATATATTAGGGATATTCCGAGGCAAGTAGAAGAGCAACATGATGAACTCAAAAAAGATATGAAAAGAATGAGGGCAGCAATCACAAAAATGAAGGCCAATATAGAAGAATTAAATGAAGAGAGGAGTACCAACAAGAGAAAAGTTTTGAAAATGAGGAGATTTTGAGTCAAACTTGGCTGGTGGAACAAGCTGAAAGATTGGAAATATATGAGACTCAACGTGAGAAAATTACAGATGGTATAAAAGACTTAATAGAAGGAAGAGCTGGACTGGGATAAGAGATCGAAAAATTTGGCATTGCTATTCACGACTTGGGAGCTCAATTGATTGCAAAGGTTGATGCGTCTAACGCCCAACAAAATAGTAAAGAGTTGTGTGAAGTTGAAATAGGAGCTTATACGCCAAATTGAGGAGCTAAAAGTGGAGAGTCAATCATTCGAGCATATGTTTGTTGATGATGCCCATGTTGAGAAAAGTACACTAGAGCCATGTGAGGAAGTAAATAATATTATATTTGAAGACTCTAATGTGTGTACATATGAGGATGAAGATATTGACGCAATTCTAGAGTTAGGGCGCATTGGTCCTCATTCCATCAATTTTTCAACATTGTGTTTGGATGATTATATGGGAATTGAGTCATTCGAGCCTTTGGAGGAGCCAACGAACGAGGAACAAGGTGCTTACATTCTGGAATTTATCGTGCCACAGAGACATAATTACATACCTCATCTAAAGACCAATAAGTGTAGAGTGAAAAACTTATTGCTTGGCCTGGTTTTCTTTGTAGCCCCACCGAAGGAGCATAGCCACAAACTGGATGCCCTATTGGGGGCTCAATTCATAAGTTCTAGGTGGAGGCAATAAGTGGTTCAAGTCGTGCCGCGACGTTAAATCGGGCACTTGTTGGGAGGCAACCCAGCTTTACTGCATTTTTATTTTATATTATTTTTGAAGTGTTATTTTTGTTTTGTAGGATTATGAGCATAGAAAGAAAAGTCATTGGAAGAGTGCAAAAGCGAGCTAGATAGTGAAAACTAAGTGTAGGGTGCCCACACAAAGGACCATGCTTGGAGAAAGTTTGAGTACCCGTAAGCCATTATTGCTTCGGCCTTTGGCCTTTCAGGGAGTTTTTTGCCCACCCTCATTATTGTTTTGCTTTATTTGTGCATTGGGGACACTGCACTCTTTTAAG